TAACGGTACCTCCCTATATTCGGTATTTTTACGATTTTACTACACTATTCACCGGAATTGTTTCAAATTTGGTATTTGAAGTTCGTAATGGATACTATAGCCTAAGACAGAAAATTGCCTGTGCAGGTCCACGTCTTCGAATAGCCCCCGTGTAACGATACCTCTCGACATTATTCACCAGAATTGTTTCAAATTTGGTATTTGAAGTTCGTAATGGATACTACAGCCTAAGACAGAAAACTGGCTGTGCAGGTCCACGTCTTCGAATAGCCCCCGTGTAACGGTACCTCCCGATATACGGTATTTTGATGATTTTAGCGAATTTATTCACCAGAATTGTTTCAAATTTGGTATTTGATATTCGTAATGGATACTACAGCCTCAGACAGAAAATTCCCTGTGCAGGTCTACGTCTTCGAATAGCCCCCGTGTAACGGTACCTCCCGATATTCGGTACTTTGTTGATTTTAGCCACATTTTTCAATGGAACAGTCTGAAAATCCACCAAGGGAGTTCCCCCTGAGTACTTTACCCCCTGGACGAAAATTGTCTATGTCGGTCCACGTTTTAGTATAGCACCCATATAATGTAACTCCAAGATATTCGGTATTTTCAGGATCATCGCGACATTATTCGCCAGAGTTGCATCAAATTTCGTATTTGAAGTTCGGAATCTTTACTACAGCCTATGAAAATTACTTATCCAGCAACACCTCTCTGTATAGGCCCCATATAAAGGCTTTCATTTCAACGGTATTTTTCGACAGATTTTTTTTTTTTTTGAAAATTTTTAAGTTCCTTCCGAATGGTGGAGGTTATAAAAAGTTCGGCCCGTCCGAACTTAGCTGCTTTTTACTATAGAAAATCTAATTTGTTGTTATTTGGCCCACCCGAAATGGTTTCAAAATGTATTTCTAGATACACCGTTGCTTCATTATTCCCTTAAAGAAACATGCCTTAATCGTCCATAACATCGCCTTGAAGGTTCCTCAAAAAATATTCCCTTAAAGACATGAATATATACCAGAAGATTCTTTAAAAATAATGTCCATTAATATTCACGATAGTAGGTTTGAAGCTTTCTGAAAAAATATTCAGTGGTCTCTGAGATCAGCTGTATTTAAGCGGCTTCTAAGGTCAGCTACTCGACACAAGAGTCTCTAAGGTCAGCCACTCTTTTTCGGTGGCCCCTGAACATAGCTACTTAACTTCAGTGGAGCAAGCAACTCTATTTTAGAGGCCTCTGAGGCCAGGAACTCCACTTCAACGATCCCTGAGATCAGTACTTGACCTCTGAGGCCAGCTATCTGGTTTAAGCGGTCTCAGAAGCCAGTTACACGACGGTTGTGGCCTTCTGATGCCAGCTACTCTACTTCAGCGGCTCTAACAACAGTTTTTTTACATTAGCGGCTTCTAATGCCAGCTACTCGACGGTAGGGCCACTTAAGCCAGCTACTTGATTCTAGCACAGATTTACTCGTTCAAGCAAGAGTAGAATTTGCTCATTTCTACTTGATTCTAGCACAGATTTACTCGTTCAAGCAAGAGTAGAATTTGCTCATTTCCGAACGCTCCCATTCTAAAACGAGCAAAGCATTCTAGCCCTTATTTGAGCGTAACTGAAAAATGGAGTTTGCTCGTTTTATCTTCTCTTCTCTCAGAGTGCTCTCGCTCGAATTCCAGTGAGTTTCACTCGTTACTCGAAATCGAGCGAGTGAGGTCACAATTTGACATCAGTATTGGGATTCTCTAACTCATTCAAAAGAAATGCCAACAAAAATTAAATTCCTTATAATTTCGGTACACGTTAGCGACCACAATAAAGTAGTCGCTAAGTCCTAGTGAGGGCGTAATTTTGCCGACGCCCGATTCCAATGGCCTCTTAACTTTCAAGTAACTTTCAAATGCATATAAAACATTTGCTCTGCAAAATTTAGAAGTAGGTTGACCCTCAGTACTGTTAACGTACTTTAATATTGATTTTTCCACTTTTAGTTGGGCGTTCTTCAAATTTAGGCACTGTTCAGGATCCTGCAAGATTCTACTATTTTTGCAATTTTCTTTAAATCTTCTTTTATTGTAGTAAACATTTGTACATTCTTGCAGTTCTGGAACAGAGCATTTGTTTAATTTCACAGTTTTCTCTACGAAATTGTCGAAGTTTAAAGTTCTCCTTTCAATGTAATTTCCACAAGTTCCAAATAAAATATGTACCTCCATTCCTGCCAAACCATGTAAGTATTAATTCCCTTGCCTTTTATCTACTTACCCTTTGAAATTCAACGCCATGTTTCCATCATTATAATCCAAGGTCTGCCTGCTGAGTTTCTCTTCGCCAAACAACCAAACAAAAGTAAACAGCTACAGCACCAATTATCTATCTTCTTCTTCTTCTTTTACTTTCAATTTTTATTTTTTGAACAATTTATTTTTTATATATATATATATTTATTCAATTCAATCATCAAAAGAAATATTGATAATGTAATAATTAAAGAAATAAAAACTAAAAACCAACAAAAAACGCGAAATTGAGGGCAAACACATTCGTTCGTTTCGTATTACGGAGCCGCCGTCATCAGCATTATCATCATCGTGGCATTCGTCGTCGTCGTCGTCATTATCATCACGTGAATAACATGATTATGTTGTTTTTGGTTTTCTTTACTTTTTTCTGTCTGGTTTCACACTTTATTTGGTAATATACAAAGCGTTTTATTAGAAAAAAAAATAAATAAACAAAATAAACTATTCGTGTGATGAGAAACAAACTCACACACACACACTTGTTCACACATAAATAAAATGTAAACTAAAACAAACAAAGAAACAAACACCAGTTATGAAAAATCAATTTCAAACAAGAAGAAAACGAAATAATGAACCACCGAACATTAATTTTGTTTTGCTGATGACCAGCCGAATATAACCCAGTACATCTATCTCTTTCTTTCACTTGACGCTGTTATGTTTTGTTATTGTTTATGTTACCGTTTTTCTTATTAGATGAAAATAGGATTTGCTCTCACGTCCACATAACGGTGAGAAAATACAAGTGTTGCCAATATTTATAATAGAAAATCGTTAAATGTAAAACGTTACCATTTCACATGGGTGACGGCAATGGAAGAATTGGAAACTGCTTGTTGCATCTTATGTATGGGCAAAACTGGCAATTTTTGTGACTAAATAAAACATTAAGGGTATATAGAGACCACTTGCTCCGACAGTACAAAACATTAAAAAAAACTTTCTCGAACTTATTCAAACTTCTCTGCATAGAAATAAGGTTCCCATCTCTGATTTGTGTATTTACAGTGGATTTATAGAAACATATTTTGACAATGAGATGTTGTCAAACGAATAATTTTGGAAAAAAATTGTATAAATATGTTTGCATGACTTTACATTCTTGCTTCTACCATGATTTGAACATGCCATGCCGACAATTTTAATAGATGTGCAAATTTTACAAATTTAAAAAATATTCAAACTTTGTTTAATATTTCAAAAAATCAACAAAATATCCAATCTGGGTGTTATAATTGAAAATCCTAGAATCTGGGTGTTATAATTAGAATCCTATTCTTTTTTATTATAATTGCATTAATCAGCTCCGAGAAAAAATTGTTCACAAAATTAAATTTTTAATCAGCCCAATCATGAATATCGGTGCGGAATTTTATTCCCACGGAAAATATTTTTGTCTCGATATGTGTCCCCTAATCACAAATAATTGCCCTGAAATAATTTGTAAAAATGCCAACACGAATGGGTCTTTTTCGTACTCAGTGTCTCCTATGTGTCCTACAAATTAATGCAAATTTGAAATGCTTTTGCAACAAATATTCAATATTATGATTCGAACTCGTTGAATTATATATGAATTATAGTCCCTATATCAATAACTATTTGAAATATGGCATAAATTAACGTTTTTTTAAAAATTAATTTTTAAATTATTTCCATCTAATATCGTTCGGTAAAAAAATCGAAAGTGGTAGATATTGCATTGCTAGTAAATTTACTTGTTCAAATTGTGAAGTACGATAAGAAAAAACCAACAAAATTGCTACATGTGTAAGACGCGGTTGCTTTACGTAAAATTGTTTATAATTCTTTGAAAATTCTCCCTTTAAATTTGCAGGGGTGATTTTTCTGAAGGAAAATGCAATTTTAAGAGCGTTCGTGATCCATTGCTCCATTAGTGATGAACGTCAATCCATGGATTTTTGATAAATTTTACACAGATCAGTTGTTTGTGTCTACCCAATTGAAATTTATAATTACCGGTTTAGATTTGGATATATATCTTCGTCCTATTTTAAGTTTCGAACAAAGTTAAAGCTACCATATATATGTTTCATTCGAATCTGGATTTTAGTCCCCCAAAACCGTAATACGCATTTCATAACAATGATGTTCCGTACGACATATGAGACAGAAATTGGTCTCCTGCAGAACTACAAGAACGTATTTTTTACTTCGACATGCGATTTCGTAGCAAAAAATACACTAATGCGGTTCTGCAAGAGACCAACAGCATAGAAATACCCATGGTACAATGAAGAGAAGGTAGGTCAACTTTGAAAAAATTGCAAGTATAGAGGTCTACCTGTTTGGCTTGTAATGTCAGAAATAGTATCAAAACAATAACAAAATCAAACAACTTGTTGCATTTATTTTGAACAAATAATTGAAAACCGCGAAAACTGAATGAAAGGTCAACATTTCTTTTCAAATCATGTTCTATATATCTCTAAAGGTTTATTTCGCTACAAAAACTGTAGATATTGTCGATGCATACGTCGAAATAAACATTTTGAAAAAACCCGAACTTGAATATTTTCTGAACATTTTTTTTGTTATTGAAAAGAAAACATATGTATAAACAAATATAGTTGACACATTAAGCCAAGAAAATAAAAAAAATTTAAATCATATGGTATCATAGTCCTACCTTGATATCATTGTACCATGCTACCTAGTAGAACTTATGCTTACAATGACAATACACCATGAGGCATATTTTTCTGTACGACATTCATAACAGCACGACCTAGGAACATAACTGCTTCACTGGCATAATGGAATACCATATCTTGACCTCGGTGCTTGACTTCCTGCAAAGTTCTATCAATACGTGTCTCATGTTTCTTCAAAAATGGATGCAAACACTTGCGATAAACTATTGGGCTTCCATTGCCCATGGATGGTAGTAGCCAAAAAATTAGCAATATTTTTAATTCATAATAGAAAGGCAACCATTTCAGGAACACATCAGTAAACGTTTCAGCCGCTGTGAAAATGGCAAACACTATCCAATATGTCATCCATTTCATATATTCATCAACAGATTTGGCACGAACCGTTTTGAAAGAGTAATACGCAGGATACAATGTGCCAAATGTAAGTATGGTCAGTCGGGAGAATATGCTGCTAATCATCGTTCGGATTCGGATTGTGGAAAAGGTGGAAAAGATTTGATTTTAAAAATGGAATTATCACAATGAAGCGAAACGATTTTTCAACGGCGGCGCGACATCAATTTGGTCGGCGTCTGCGAAATATCAACGATAGAGGTATTGTCAGACGTAATGAGTTTTACATAATACTCTGTCACATCACATTCTGTCACATTTTAGATACGATTTATATCTGTAGGACAACATATATAGATATACTTATTTTTGAAAGAATTTTGAAATATCAATGTTCCCAAGCGTTGATGCATTCATGGTACAATGATATCAAGGTAGGTCTATGATACCATATGATTTCAATTTTTTTATTTTCTTGGCTTAATATGTCATCTTTATTTGTTTATGTATGTGTTTTCTTTTCAATAACAAAAAAATTGTTCAGAAAATATTCAAATTCGGGTGTTTTCAAAATGTTTATTTCAACGTATGCATCGACAAAATCTAGAGTTTTTGTAGCGAAATAATCCTTTAGAAATATATAGTACATAATTTTGAAAAGAAGTGTTGTACTTTCATTCAATTATCGCGTTTTTCAATTATTTATTCAAAATAAATGCAACAAGTGGTTTGATTTTTTATTGCTTTGATACTAATTCTGACATTACAAGCCAAACAGGTAGACCTCTATACTTGCAAATTTTTCAAAGTTGACCTACCTTCTCTTCATTGTACCATGTATTCGCCCTATTTCTTAGGATTGCCCTGCGTTCACACATGCATGCAGTTGCCCAATTACATTTTTCCGCTTAATTGACAACACTGTCTATATTTGAAATGTGTCATTTCAATATGCTCTCTCTCTCCCTCTCTCTTTATCGCTCTCGTTCGGTAACAGCTGATTTTTGTTATTCTCCTGTGTTGCTGGCAGCAAATGCAAAAAAGAAAACAAACGAACACCAAACATTGATTTTTTGCAAACTGGGCTTTGTTGTTGTTGTCATTTTTTTCCTAATGCTTGTTCTTCTTGGTATCCTTATCCGTTTTCAAGGAAATATTGATGCACTTTGGTATTTTCAAGGTTTTCTTAAGAAAAATACATGCAAGGCAAATATTCCACTTGAATATGCAAATAACACCTTAAGTTGACACAAGCAATAACAAAAAACAACCACAGCAAGTGAAGAGAAAAAGAAGACATAAATGAAAAAAAAATACCAAATAAGGTACAGAATAAATAAAAGGAAATTTGAACAAAGTTTTTTTCTTTTCAGTACACACCAAATATTTATAGTTGCGACTCGACTGCCAGCCAGCCAACCAACCGACCACCGACCGATACAGGTATTGCACACAACACACAGAGCAAAGGTTCTAAACTCCGGTTTTTGCGTTTAGTTTTCGACAAGTATCACAACATTTTCCGCAAGTTTTTCATTCAATTTTCCACAATGAATTTATCATAATTTCATAGATTGAAAACTATTTTCTATTCCAATTGGAAATATTCTTGATCTTTTTCTCTCTTGCACGACACCGATACCGATGACACCAATTTGCCAACTAGGGATACATAAGTCGACTTTTGATTGACAATAGTTAAATCGATTTTCGATGTCAAGTCAAGGTCGACTTTTGGCCTGCGGCAAAAATCACCAAAGTCAAAATCAAATATAAAATCGAAATAGATTTTCGTAGAATTTGTTCGGAAAAGTCAGATACTCTGTTCCAGTACCTACAAATATCTACTAGTTTGTAATTTTCTTCATAGAGGGAAAACCGGTTATCGTAATAAAAACTATTCTTCTTCTGCCAATTTTGTGTATGAATTTACTATTTAGAAAAACAAAATATTTTCAAAAGTAATAATTTGAACAGTTGTGCATTGCGGGCAGCGCATTAAAGATATTAACCAGTTTTGTCATGGAATTGATACATTAAACCATGGTACAATAAAGAGGTAAGGTAGAGCTACCAGCTGATTTTTTTACAATTTTTGAAAAATGAAAACAGAATATTTTCAAAACCAATGATTGGAAGACACGTACATAGCGGCTCGCACATTAAAGCTATTAACCAGCTTAAAAATGAAATTGAAAGATTGAACACTTAGGATCCTATTTTTGAGAGAAAATCCAGGCATTTCATTCATTTTTCGCGCTATTAAAATGAGGAAGAATGTGAAAATAATTTCCCTTTATGATATCGAAAAAAGGCCCAAAAATAGTATATTCTTGCAGGTTCAAAAATCAATGTCGACTTTCCACTCACTCATGGCAAAATAATTGTTTTGTTCAAGAGCTGCAAGAAGGTAAAACTTTTTAATACGATAACCGAATTTTGGCTTATGATTTCAAAGAAAATCGCAAAACTTGTAGACTCTTGCGGGTTCTTGAACAGCAAATATGTGGTATGTTCCAGAACTGCAAGAATGTAAAAATTGTTACTACGATAACCGATTTTCTGAAACAGAGCATGGTGTTACACCAAATTTACAAAATCAGATGAATTGTCGAATTTTGCTTTTATGTGTTATATCATGGTAGAAAAATACAGGTAGATGCATCAACACTTGGGAGCATTGACGTGTCAAAAAAAATTTAAATTTCTTTTCAAATATAAGTAGATTTTTATATGTTTTCTTATACGAGGTCATTCGGAATTTATTATAAAAGGCCTTTTCAGCAATTTGTACAAATTTAAATAATTTTTCATTCAACATTTTCAATTCCAAAATTCGTTTGACAGTTCATTGGCCCAGCAGCTGTGTCGTTGCGTTACCTATATTCTTCTACCATGTGTTATATTAAATATAGCCCTTTAGATTTACCCTATATTTGTCTATTTAGCGACTACGTATCCCTATTAAATTTATTAAACAAATGTTGCCAATTTTGCGGTGCGAAAAAACTCGCCAAAATTGTTGTGAATGTAGTTTTATAAAATAAAATGAGGATCTTTAATAATATTTTTCAGAAGAGTATGTATGCATTTTATTAAAAGAAAATGAAAGTAAATTTTTCAAATAAAGTGGATTTTTTAATTTGATTTTGGAATTGCTGAAATTGGATTCTTCACTCCAGACAAAAAACATTCGACACATATCTTTGAATCCAAATTTTGAATATTAGTTGTTTTAATTTGCTTATTTTTTATGAAAAACCTGAGTATTTCAAAATGTGGCATCAATTTGTGCAATTTTAGAAGAATACAGATGGTCGCATCGACACAGCTGCAGGGACAATGGACTGTGAAATTAAATTTGGAATTAAAAATTTTAAATGAAAAGTTATTAAAACTCGTAAAAATTGTTGAAAAATGAATACCATAACAATCTCTGACTGGCGTCGTGTAAGAAAACACATAAAATCTATTTATTTTTGAAAAAAAAACTTTTCAAAACTATTGACATGCTTGAAATGCTTTTTGTCCAGTCTTTACCATTTAAAGTCTTTCTTTTTACAAAAAATAGGATGCACCAGGTACGAAAAATTCACGTTGCCATATTCACAAATTGTTTCTTCTCAATTATTCTTTATAGGAGGATAAATTATCTCTCAAGAACAAAAACTTTCCGTGGAAATAGAATTCCGAGAGGATTTTTCTAGAAAACCCATAGATCGTTTATTTTAAAATAAAACAATTTTCTTTTTTTAATTTGAAAATATTATACACATTTATTTTAATAATTTATTTGTTTTATAAGATTTTTTGTTTTGTTTTTTTTTTTATTCATTTATTTTAAAAGATCCGATATTTAAAACACCATCGGGCAGGCGCCATCTAGCCAACATGAATTCTCTTGGTTATTTTGGTTTGTATTTGTATTTCTTTTTTGCTACTTTCGTACAGACAGAATTATTTAAGCCTTTTTTGTAAGCCACATCATAATTGTCGTCGTCTTCTGCTACTTCTGCATTTGTTTGCTGCTGCTTCTTCTTCTTCTTCTTCTTTATCCTTGTCATTGTTGTCATAACTAAAATTGAGTGTTTTCTTGAAGAGCTTCTTCTTCTTTTTCTGGTTTTATTTACGCGGGGGATCTTTTATAAGTCTAGTTTAAATTTCTTTTGTAGGGTTTTCTTTCTTCTTTTTTTGTTTTTTTACTTTAAAGGAGATTAAGATAATCTTTTCTTTTGTGGTTGTTTCTTTTTTGGTTGCTTAAATGTTAAAAAATATACTTTTTTTCCATCTTTTTTTTTTGTTTCTTTATATTAATATTTATATATAATATATTTAATCATTTTGACAATTTCACAGTGGTTTTTTTAAGAGTTGTTTGTTTGTTTTTTCTTCATATTTTTTATATATTTAATGTTTTTCTATTTTATTTTTTTTTTTCAAATAATTTACAATGCAATGCTACGCATAAAATATTACATTTAATGTTAATCATCATCGTCCGTCATTATCTTTATAATCATCACCCAAAAGTTGTGGTTTTTATTTTTTTTATCTGAAATCTGTTTTCGGCTTTACGCGCAAAAGAAAAATTTGAATGAATTTTGTGGTTGTTGATTTTATTGTAGGAGGAAGGAACTCGATTTTTAAGAATTTTTACAGGAGACCTACCGAGCAATAAAAGTTTATTTTTTTTTAAGAATATTAAGAAAATTTCCTAGAGGCCCTATAGACTAAGCGAAATCGATTATTTAAGTATATTATCTGAAGAAGAGGACCTAAAGATGAGAGTACATAAAACGCTTTTTTGACTGGCTTAAGTCATCGGCTGGCTTCTTCGGAAAAGTACAAAGGAGCATAGGCCCAAAATCAAACTAAGTCAACCTAAAACTCCTTTGTTCCTCTACGAAGAAGCCTGCCGATGACTTAAGGTGGGAATACATAAAAAGCGTTTTTGACTGGCTTAAAGTGCATATTTAGCGGTTTAAATCAGTTAACATTGGTAACTATGTTGTTATAATAACATAAGAACAGAGGTATTTTCACAGGGTTGCCATATTTTGAGTCTTTTTTGTCCTTTCTTTATATTTCTACATCTTTGAACAAAGGAGTTTTAGGTTGACTTAGTT